TGGACATTTATCTCATTTCAAGAAGGCGCCATTGCTGACTGGACTCCTGTCAATGAATTAAAACTAAAAATGTCTAGGCCTGGAACAGATGCCGCTCGGTGTGAACGGGTCGCCGGGGACGTCCAGACAGGCTCCCTCATGATTCTTTGTTTTACTGTCTTCCTGTTTCCTGGAAGGACAAACACCTTTATCCACATTTCCTTCCCCCTTGCTGAAAGTGAAAAGTATTCCCCTCCATCGGGTGCATGTGCTAGAGAGGAGAGACAGAGACAGTGAGAGGGAAGTGAGAAATCCCACCAGAAGGGATGGCCACCCCACAATTCCTTCTTTTCCATTCTCCTCCTGGGATTTTGGGCATGCGTGCACATGCGCCTGGCACAATTTCTTTTTCTTTTGCTTTTTCTTTCTTTTTTTTTTTTTTTAGAGAGATTTTTGTTGTAAGGTGCTTCTGCTTGCCAGAGAGACAGAGACAGAAAGCAAGACATCACCCCACCAGGGTGGATGGCCACACCGCAATCCCTTCTCCTCCATTCTCCTCTTGGGATTTGGGGCATGCATGCACACATGTCCCATATGAATTTTAGGCAGCCAGGTCCAGGACTCAAACTGTGGTCAGCCATGTGGAAGTCCAGTGCCTTAACCGCCATGCCACCTACTGGTCTCTGAAAGTGAAAGCCTTTCTGACTGTTGGGTCTATATCAAAGACCCAATCTCTCTTTCATTTTCTTTTTCTTTTATTTTTTGTCATAGGGCTTGTGTGCTTTCTGGAGAAAGACTGAGAGAAGGAAAGTGAGCAATCAGACCTCCCCAACACACCCAGTGAGGGTGGCCATGCCGCAATTCCTTCTCCGCCATTCTCCTCTTGGGATTTTGGTCACCCACACACATGTACCTGGTGTGCGTTTCAAGTCGCCAGGTCCAGAACTTGAACCATGATGGGCCATGTGAGAACCCAGTACCTCAACCGCCACGTCCGACCCCAATGTCTTTATGTACTCACTGACCCCTTAGTGTACCTGGTAACAAACGCCATGGTGTTCCAAATACCACCGCTTGTTCAGATTGTACCTTCGGTCTTTAATACAGGGTTAAGCTTTTGGATCCAGCCACTCAGATTCCTGGCGTATGACATTAGCAGTGCACAGAGCCTAAAGAGAGAGCTAATGTCTAAAACGTGCCTGGTGCATTTTTCAAGTCACTAGGTCCAGGACTCATATCACAGAGTAGGTTATGTGGGATCCAGTCATCTTAACTACCAATGCATTTTTAAATATATATCATATGTATTAGTGGTTACATAGCTGGACTCCCACATGGCTGACCACGGTTCAAGTCCCAGACCAGGTGGCTTGAAACGTGTACCAGGCGCACGTGCATGCATGTCTAAGATCCCAGGAGGAGAATGGAAGAGAAGAAATTGTGAAGAAGAAGAAAAGAGAAGAAATTCTCGCTTTCCCTCTCATTGTGTCTATCTGTCTCTCTCTTCCTCTGCCTTGAGCACATGCACCCGAAGGCAAAAACCTCTAAAAAATTAATTAATTAATTAATTAAAAGCTCCCATATCTTTTTTTAAAGAATTATTTATTTAATTTTATTTATTCATTCATTTATTTTTAATTTGATCAGACAAAGACACAGACAGAGAGAGAGAGGAAGTGAGAAAGCAGGCGACACACTCTCCTGGTGTGTTTTTTCAAGTTGCCTGGTAGGGACTTGAACTGCTCATTGTGCCATATGAGATCCAGCCACCTTAACCACCACGCCTCCTGCTGGTCCCCAAAAGCTCCCATATCTTGATTTCCTCTAGTGTAAGCCCAGATTTTTTTTCTTAGCCTACACTCAGATTGTGACTTTTTTTAAAATATTCCCATAATAGAATAATTTGTTCTGGAGGACCTGTTTCTAAGTTTCATTTGTAGAACAAAAAATCTTACAGGACTTTGGCGAATCTCCCCTGTGCTGCTGAGATGCACGCCAGGTAGCCCTGGGCTTGCAGAGGGGAATACCCCACCCCACCAGGGATTCTGGGGCCAGTTCCCACTCCATCCCCCACTCCGGGAGGAAACCCATCAGCACTTTCCCTAGGGCCTCACTACCCTTGACCTCCTATACAAGGGTCCCCCAGGTGCGTCATTTCCTTCTGTCTTCCTGGGCTCAGCATCGCATCTGTGGGCGTCACCGCGAGGTGGCCTTCAGGGGAGCCGTCTCCCCTAGTGTGGGCATACCTCAGCCTGCGGGTCCATCCTCCTGATCACAGGACTTCGGGCTCTTCCGGGTCTTTTTCCACGACGACGGCAGTGGTCTTGGCCTCCCCTGCCTGCGGGACAGGACAGCGATCACTGCTGCGACAGGGCTCGCCCTCCACAGGGACCCTCAGGAGTTCCCGCCTGAGCAGCCAGGTGTCAGTCCAGGTGCACGTGGTCCTAACCGGTGCCCTCCTCCGGACCACTCTGGCTGAGCAGCCTCATGAGCCCACGGGGAGGTTTCCCTCCAGGACTAGGGGAGTCCCGGCTGAGGCAGGAAGAAAACGTTCCGTGGGAGCAGGGTGTAAGACGTCTGGAAGACCCTCTCCAGTGTCCCGGGCGCCACTGCCCCGCCCAGGGTCCAGCAGGCCCATCGCCACCACCGCGGACCACAGCGCTCTCGGCAGGCCTGTCCCTACCGCCCCATTGAAACCGAGCTGTGACCCTCTAAAAGAAGTGAACCTTCAGATACTTTACTATTACTATTATTTAGAAGAAAGTGTAAGTTCCCCAAATGAAAACTGATTAGAACTAAAAGTATGCAGATTGACTGACAAGAGAGGTCCATTTAAATGTAGATGTTACATTCAAGTCTCTGGGCCCTGACTACGCCCACCCCCTCCCTGAGATCATTATTCGAATGTATACCCTAGCTTACAGTAAACCGCACCTTCCTGCAGTAATAGATGACGTTTATCCAAAAACTGTCACTTTAATGTACTAAAAAGAAGCTTGTAACTTCCCTCTTTGTCAAAGAAATCAGTTTCCCTTTTTTTTCTTTTTTTTTTCTTTTTTGCTATAGGGCGCGTGCGCTCACCAGTCAGACAGAGAGAGACAGAGAGACAGAAAGCGAGAAATC